AAAGTGTCTGGCATTGGCCTCAGTTGGAGGAAAGGATACTGGGTGGACCACTGGGCTGACCCAGTGTGGCCATTCTCATAACCACCTTACTCCAAGAAGCTGCAGTGTCCAGTAACATACTGCTTAGCCATCTGTTTCTGTGAGCACTGAAGACGTATATTGTAAATCAGGAGTTCTCAGACTTTTTCCATAGTGTGGAGCATATCGTAAGAGAGGGATTCTCATACACTTGGTATGTTCTGACCACAACTGCAGTCCCCTGTGCAGCAGAGAGGAGAATCTGTGCTTGCATGTGTGACCAGAATAGAGTTCCCCTGGGCAAGGTAGGGAGGCCCTAGTTGAGCACTCCCAGAAGGGGCAGGGCCTCAGGCTGAAGGGGCGGGGCTTAGGGCAGCCAGCCTTCCACACTGCCCAGACCACCACCACTGCCCACTCCCAATGCTGCATGAAATATGTGGTGCCCCTGCCTCCCAAGTAGCCCGAAGAGCCACCCGGAGCATGCCATGCGGCACTCTGACGACAATTTAAAGGGCTCGAGGCTCCGGGGACTGCTGCTGTTGCAGTAGCAGCATCAGCAGCCAAAGCTTCAGGCCCCTTTAAATCACTGGGCCTCAGGGCAGTTGCTCCCTTCTTTCCCCGCCACCTCCAGGTTGGCAGGCATGCTGGCCAAACACTGCTGAGCATATCCTAGCACATTCAGGAATCTGTGCTGGGCTCCAACTGTTCATTCTCCAAGTCTCTGGAGTGTTCTGGTCTCTGACTAGGATGTCTCTTCAGTGTGACATGACTACCCATCAAAGTTAACTGTAAGAGAGCTGAATTGCACTGACTAATATCTGGAAGTACAGGGTAACAGACACATTAGAAATAAAAAGACAGCTGGTAATTATTAATAATAATACTTAGCACTTTACTCATTCAAGACACTATACACATGTTAAACTGAGACAGAATCATAGAACTTGGTAGCAAACTTTGCTTCTTAGTTCCACTAGATGTCAGTGCAGCAGTGAGAAAGAAAGGCGTAGGAAAAAACAGAAGGTATTTGTGCAAAATTAGTTTTCTTAGCTGAAATTTTAATTTCTCCTATAAGGATCCACTGAAGATCACAAAAGAATGCTAAGTTAGACATGATGAGTCAACATGGTTTCCAGGACCCTTATTCTTCCATCATAGGATATGAACTCCTACTGATATAAATGAAAATACTAGTGATCAGCTATGGATCACAAATTATAAGGAAGCAGTGCATCCCTTCCAACAACCTGAATGTTAAAGGTGGTTTGGTTCTGAAAATGTAGTGCTCTTTGTCAGAGAATTGGCACAACCTAAATACAGTCAGAAAAACATGCACTATGTTCTAACACCTAATAACTCTTCATTCCTAAAATCAGAGGCTCAATGGTTTATTTCAAGTATTAAACAGATGTGACATTCTTGTTTAGTTTGTGCTTTGTAACATGTTGTAATAAATTCATTGTTTAAAGACAAAGGCCAATATTCTACCATTTGAAAATAGATTAGAAAACCATGAGAAAAGATTAGCTAAACTGGTCAGTGGTTACACGTTTACACATGGAGGAGGCAGTCACCAAGTCTTAACAAACACAGACTAAATTTACTTGGTAGTGCTTTAAAGCAAGAAGTGCATCATCATTTGTGAATGCACCAGGGCATAGAGCATCCAAAAAAGTAATGACTATAAATGCCACCTTTCTTGTGCATATGCTCTTTTGAGTGAGGGGTCACAATATTTTCTGTGTAATCTAAGCTCTTATGTAAAAAGTATTGGTTTACCCCTTCTAGTTATGAAGAAAACCTTCCAAATGTCAACAGCTGCAGCTCTGACCCACACAGCATTAGGGGATAGTGCCATTTATAACATTTCCAATGCAGAACAATAAGTGGTCTGAGTCCCTGATCTGCTGAGAGCACTTTGTGCAAACCTAAAATGAACCGATACAGCTATAATGATATCTTCTCCCCAACAGAGAGATAGCAAGCAGCATCCTTATACCTGGCCAATCTCATGCAGCTGAAATAGTCCTTTTGCCACTATCAGTGACTCACCATATATCCGAGCAGTTCTAACTTAAACACAGCTCCTTAGCTAGCCCTAAGATTGAGGGACTATAGGCATGGTATTAAATACATCTCAACCAGAATAAAGAAATTGATTCAAGATTACCAGTTTTGTAGCCACTAAATATAAATATCTATTTTGGCCATATAAGGTAAAATGAATGTTAAAAAGTGTCTAAATGATTATGCATTAGAATATTAGAAGGGGAGTGTAGGTTGAAAGAGCACAAACAATTTCGGGATACTGGAAAAAAAAGAGGAGGATTTTAGGGGTTGAGGAAGGAAATGAGAGAACACTTTGAGATGGATCTGTAACGACTATTATAAAAGTTAGTCTATAAACTTTGAAAGGATCAGCCAATCAGAAAAGCATAAAAATGCATTCATGTGATACATACCATTAGATTTCTGAGGTCCTCTGAATGACATATTATATTAAAAGAATTATTTAAAATGTACTTACATCCTCAGATTCGAAGACATGGCATATCATTTTGTACTGTTTCTTTCCTTCCTGGGCACCGGGTGTTGTCTCAATACAGTCTTGAGAAGCAGACCTTGGCATCCGGCGTCTTGCCATTAAAACAACAATGTTACCAATATCAGCAATATATGAGATTGTGCGCAATGCATGATCCATCATAGTTTCCTAAACAAAGCAAAAGATAAACAAAAATGTTCCACATCCCCAGTAGTTACTCCAGAAATGTCACTTTTTCTCTCTTCCCATATCATCTATTTTCTTAAACGGGCAACTAAGCTTGCTTGTCTTTGTGGAGTTTCCAAGGGGCCAGATTCTGCAGGCTTTATACAGTTCATTTCTAAACAACACTACCACTAAAGTCAAAGCCTGACTTACTGAAAACCCATGGACTTCAATGGAAATGTTGTCTGAATAATAACTGCAGATATTTGGCTCACACACCCTATTACAAAAAGTTTAAAAGTATCAGATTTCAAGGAAAAGGAAAACATCTTTTAAAAATAATTTCAGCATTTTTGAAAATACACAGTTTATGCAAATAAATGCTAAAGAAAAGCAGTGACAGAAGCTGTTTATAACAAGATCATGAACATTATTGCTACAACAGGAAAAGATAAAGAAGGATTCAACAAAGAATATTTTAACTTTTTTTCAGAAATATAAAGTTATCATTTCCTCTCCTCATAATGAATTGTAAATGTTGTGTTGCCATTTTCTCTTAAGTTATTTTACCACAGATATTCTTACTTCTCCCTCCAAACTCTTCACCATGTAAATTAGAGATATCCGAAAGGGAGAAAAGCCTGCAGTCTAGATTCAGAAAGGTAATCTAAGCACCTGTAGTCCCCTGATGTCATTGGTACTATTCATATGCTTCAAGTGAGGCACACGATTTGCTAAATTGGATCCCAATTTGAGTTTGTCTCACCTCTGAATTTAACCCTTTCTGGGGGTCTTTTGGCAAATGTTGGTCTCCATTTGTAATATCTTTACAGGGCCACTGATGTTCAACCACCTGTAAAATGTAGGCAGGTAGATAACTGATAAACTATATGTTATACAATAGGGGAGAATTTTTTTAGTACTTCATCCTCTGTATGGATTACTTCTGCCTTTTAATTTATGTCTTTTTTAAACTTTGAGGCATTATCTCAGCCTACCATCTCCAGATGTTTTTTCCTCAGGAATGTACTATTATGGAACTTAATAAAAAGTTATCCTTAGGCAACTGTGAAGTCAGTGAACATCTGCAGTCAGGGAAGAATTTTTTGTTACTGGACTCGATTTATCCCAGATATTTGTCTTTTGGAATTATCTAAGAACATAAGAACATAAGAACGGCCGTACTGGGTCACACCAAAGGTCCATCTAGCCCAGTATCCTGTCTGCCGACAGTGGCCAGCACCAGGTGCCCCAGAGAGGGTGAACCGAAGACAACGATCAAGCGATTTGTCTCCTGCCATCCCTCTCCAGCCTCTGACAAACAGAGGCCAGGGACACCATTTTATCCCCTGGCTAATAGCCTTTTATGGACCTAACCTCCATGAAATTATCTATATCTTCGTATTATTGATTTCTAGTTCACACTTCTGTCATGTCTTTGTTCTATCAAAAAACCAGTGATCTTGTAGAGGAAGAGCCTTCGAGGGCATTTTTAATCATGGCTCCTTTGTACCCACAGGATATAAAATTATAGTGAGTTTTATTATTAGTGAACTTGCACTAAATTTGAACAAATGAATGTGGCCCACCAGCTACCTTCTTAAACTACACATTTATGAGGTGTTCTGCCGTTAAATAATGCTATTACCGTTCCGAAAGAACTTTAAACATTTAGCATTTAAAAAACAAATATATTTTGGTATGGATATTCTAGGTAATTATAAATTTCTACAGATTTTAAGAAGCACTCTTGAAATATTTGATTTTCATTTGGGCTGAAGAAGCTAAACATCTAACAGATTTTCTCCTTAAACTGGAATACAAAACATTTGTTCCTGAATCAGTGCTTTCTGGATCTTCCCATCAACTCCCAATAGAGTTTCAGGAGGGTAGAGGGGGCAGCAGCGTTCCCTGGACACTAAGGGAGTGAGGGGAAAGTACCTGCATTCCGTGCATGCCTCTTCACAACTTCCCGGAGCTCTCTTCACCAGCCAGGTGTAAGATAATAGCCAATGGCTCTGCAATCACATCAGCCAACTCCCTCAGCTCCCTTGGGTGCATTAGAATGGCCCGATGGATTTGTGTATGTCCAACTTTTCTAAACAGTTCTTAACCTGTTCCTTCTCCACCGTGGGCTGCCCACCACCTTCCCATATTGTGTTGCCTAGTGCAGTAATCTGTTAACTGAACTTGTCTATGAAGACAGAGGCAAAAATAGCATGGAGTGCTTCAGCTTTTCCCACATCATGTCACTAGGTTACCTACCTCTTCCAGTAAGGGCCCCACACCTTGCCTATAGAAACCGTTCTTGTTACTCTTCACATCCCTTGCTAGATGCAATTCTAATTGTGCCTTTTCCTTCCTGATTACACTCCAGAAATATATTTATACTCCTGCCTAATCATCTGTCCAAGTGTGATGGGACAGACGAAACCCAACCTCCCTGCTGGAGGCCTTTCAGTACCCTGGCCAGCAGCAGGAGCAGTGGAGAGGTCCTCCGAGCAGGGTAGAGGGGCAAATTTACAGATATCCACTTTATATCCATGGATGTGGATGTGGATACCTGTAGTTCATTTTTGCAGATACGGACTCAGATACAAATTTTGTATCCACACAGGGCTCTTCAAATTTCCTTGCCTCTACATGTGTTGCTCTCCTACACATCCCTGTTGCTATTCCTCAATTTTCTTTTCCGTATCATGGTTCCACAATTTTTTCATTCTCCCTTTCATATGTTCCCTTTTTCCTTTGGTGATTCCTTCCACTCTCCTTTTTACCGGGGTCTCGGATGGTGCATGTGGAAAAAGGGCTATAGCTGGTGAAATCTGAAGACGATCTGAAGGGAGGGGAGGCAGGGTCAGAGAGGCTGCATGTTCTCCTATAGCTCTCTTGGTGGCTGATGGCTGCCAGTTGCCAGGAACTGAACAGGAGCTGGGAGCCTCTACTGAAATAGCTCCTGTGGCTGCATTGTGGGAGCATGAGTCAGGCAATTAGACAACTCAGAGGGCCTTCATAGGCCAACTCCTGAGGGTGGTCACTGATACATTCACATTCCAGCGTGTGTCAGGTCACATCAGCGGAAGCGGAGCAGCATACTCCACAAAATGGTATCCCATTCAACTTCAGCTTTACCAGAGAGTAACTAGGTTGTGGGGTCAGGGCACGTAGATTTGCCAATCACATGCGGTTCCCATCTCTGCAGGTGGCATCCCTACGCCTTCACTATCCCAGATTTTCCACACTCTGAATGTGAGAAGTAGAACAAAGTTGCTGTGACACTTGTGCCAATTTCACTCCTTGATTGCAAGTCTAGCCCATGGAGCAAAGCAGACAGGGGAAGTTCTGCTCATACCACAAGTATGGCATACTGTCAAAAGCAGAGTTATTTCTAATGCACGAGTTGAACAGGTGGTCACCTAGGGCTGAAAATACTCAGTAGCTGCATGTGTAAATGACTCCAGGGTGGTAGGAGCAACCATTTGCTAATTTTGCCTGTGGCAACAAACCCACTAGTGGTGGCTGTGGTCCAAAGCGATAATATGCCTTATTGCTACTACTGACCCTGTTCAAACCCCAGCATAAATCAAGTTAGATTTTTTTTTTTAGTGAAATTAGAATTCCTTTAAACCAGTTAGTGCCACCAGATGCTTCCATGAACAACATACAATAAAATTATGTAAGGGTTAGGACACTAAATTAATGACGGCAGAAATCTATTTTATATAATAGAAGTATATAGAACTGCGATTGACTGTGCCAGCTGCTACACCAGTTGAGAGAGCCACAGTAATGAAGTCAGTCAAGAAACCTCTCTCGGCAAAAAGCATAGTCAAGCTAAAATGCAAAAGCTCGCTGAAAATGAATACAAAAAGATAAGGGAAGCAAAGCCTCTGGCTACTCAGACACATAAAAATCAGCCACATTCAAAGTAGGCTTTAGTAAAACTCCTTAACACACCCAATTCTAGTATCACATTTTTAATTTTTTCTCAATACACAGAGCCAGACTCTGGTACCATTGCTCACCACAAATAGCACTTTATGCCACGGCAGTATTAGGGATGTCACAGAGTAAACAAGTAAATGGTTAACTGAGGAGTCTAGGCTCATCAGTTAATCTTCATGGTTACATGCACCCTTCTCTCCCTCTGCCTCCCCCTCCCCAGCTGCCTCTGATACAGAGGCAGCAGCACAGTGGGGCAGGAGGGAGCCACTACACACTCCTGTCTGCCCCTCATCCAGCACTGCTGCCTCTGATAATGCAGCCACATTAAAAGAAAACAGTGTAATTCCTTACTGTAACAAATACCGAACCGCTCAACATTTAGGAGATGAAATATTCTCAATTAGGGGAGAAAATATTTCCATACTGCCCAGTAAATCTCCAGCCTCTAAGAGCTCTAGCTATTCATATACTCTAGAGATGTTCTTGAACACTAGGGGGTTATTTTCAAGATGTATGATTACAGTCAATCAAGATAAGGCAACCACTCTACATATTCATTAGAGAATAATGGAAAGTATTAAGTCTGTCAGCACTGAAAAACCTTATAAGGTGGCCTGTGACACAGCTACAAATTGTTAATTCAGCAGCCATTTCTGCAATAGTCTGAGAAATGTATCAGGTATATAACATTCCAGTACAGATAGCTTCAAAACCAAGTTTTATATTAATCATAAAGCTGGCTGTAAAAATTAATACAATAAACCATCAATTTGGTATGGACGTTTTTCTAAGCCCTCAGAATAAAACTACTGCCATTCATTCCTTGCTGCTATATGCCGTTTCATTTTGTTGTTGTTGGTTTTCCACCCTCTTTCCTGATTTCCTCAAAGTCTAAAAGATTTTTGTCACCTTATCCTACTTAAAATTCTCTGTCTTTTTCCAGTTGCTCTGTAACCCTTAGAAACTAAATATGCTTTACCAACTATGTCTTCATTCTTTTGTTAATAAAAATCACTATGAACTGATTCCTGTGTCCTAGAAGGCAGGAAGTTCTGTGTGCTCATGACTGAGACCAAAAAGTCAGCGATTAAGAAATTACAGTTTGTTTTCAAGCTCACTTCAGAGGGAGGGTTAAAGAGCTTGAGGGTACCACACAGGAAGAAATTTCCAAGTGCGTCTTCTGGGTTATCAAAGGAACATGTGACCTTTGGGAGGTGGCAGCATACCACCGAAGGTCAGGGAATCTGTGACCTTTGGGAGTTTTTAAGCAGAAGCCGTTAGTAGAATGACATTTTAAAGTTTCTTGCAGGCACCTACCTTCTGCACTCAAAGGGTATGTCTAGACTACATGGTTCCGTCGACGGAGCCATGTAGATGAGTTTACTAGACATAGGGAAATGGAGTGGCTATTTAAATAATCGCTGCTTCATTTACATCAAAATGGACGCCGCGCTGTGCCGATCAGCTGTTTGGCGGCACAGCGGGGCAGTCTGGACGCTCCACAGTCGACAACGGAAGCCTTTGTCGACAGCTCCATTATGCTTCGTGGAATGAGGTTTACTGGGGCAGTCGACAAAGGCTTCCATTGTCAACCGCGGAGCGTCCAGACTGCCCTGCTGTGCTGCCAAACTGCTGATCAGCACAGCACGGTGGCCATTTTGATGTAAATGAAGCAGCAGTTATTTAAATTGCCGCTTCATTTCCCTATATCTAGTAAACTCATCTACATAGCTCCATCAATGGAGCCAGGTAGTCTAGACATACCCAAAGTGCCGGAGTGGGGAACAGCCTTAACAATGTTATTCTAAGTGAGAGCTATTGTATAAAATCAGTATTTTTGAAGTATTATGTTTAACCATTTACCTGTGTATCTGCATTCAGAACTTTAATCCTCTGTGTGGAGATGAACAGATCCACTTCAGTCAAGGCCTGGGAATCTCCCTCAGAAGTCTAAAAGACAATCACATTGTTACCAAGGGAATTTTAATTTTCTATTTAAAATGACAACTCCACTGATTCCTTCATGCAAAGTGTAATATTGAACACTTATTTTGCTGAGCTATTACAAAGACAGCAGTTCACAGATGTGTCCATATACATGCAAATTTAGTATTAGAGGATGTTTACTGCATAGGAATAGTTTTGTGTTTTATTTTTTATGTTATGGGTGAGTCTGAACTTTCAGTTCATGGATAGCTCTGGATTGACAGCGAAAGGGCCAAAGTCTTCTCTCAACTGAAATAATTAGAGAAAAGGCATGGACACACTGTTTCCTGCATGCCACATTCCAGTTCTTGAGACACCAGCAGTAGAAAAGAGAGAGCAATCTAGTCTCCATACCTATTCAGTCCTTGGTATTGGTACTAGAATTACTAATAGAATGCAAATCAGAGCTAATTGTTGTGGTGAATTAGTTTTTTTTATAGACACCATTCATTGAGAACTGAATTGAGACCTAAATTATTTCACATAAGGTCAAAGAGCTTTCAGATGTAAATGGGAAGTTACTTATTATGTAGAGAGAAGTTCTTCAAGATGTGTTCTCCAGATGCACATTCCACTGATGATATACACAGATGTTTGGATAGAGTGTGTCAGTGTATCCATGGCCCATGGTCAGTGGTGATGAAGGATAAAGCCGACCTGAAGCAAACTAGCCAATTTCTGGAATCACTGATGGAAGAGCACATCTCTCAACCATACCCTCTAAATGAGTGCTTCTGGGATTGGGAAGGTTGGTTGGTTTATGACAGAGCAATGGGTTGTCTCCTCCTGTAGAAACAATCTCATTGCATGTATGGTTCTGATGACATTTGGTGGTAGAGGGGCTGGGGGACTAGTCACTGAAAAATATGATTGTTTTATGTTTTTCCTCTGGAGAACTGCCATGTAAACTGTAAGGGAACACAAGATGGCTTATGAATTCTTCAGCACATGGAGGGTCTTGTCTGTCTAAGAGATGAACAATTCATTTCCTTCAAAAGGCAGATCCTTTGCTGCCATTTGGACTTCTCTGGGGAATCCCAAAACTCACAATGCCCATCACATAGCAACCAGCCACTTATCTGGAAGTTATAAAACCCTGTAGATCACTGCTTGGAGACTTGTCCTGGCTACAATGTGGCTATCTTTAACTAGCAGCGTGAAGTCTTTGCAGAGCTCATTGGGAAAGCTATCAACCAAGACAAGTAGTCTTTCATGCCTGACAACTGGCTATGTGAAAAACTGCAGACTTGTTCAGGAGAAGGTTTTCTGGTCAAATAAATCTAGTATTTTTGGCTCTATATTCTTCAGTATGAACCTGAATTGGTTTGCATTTTAATTTGTCACAGTGACCACAAGGGAGAATGCAGTGAGGTGTGTATAAAAGAATCCAGCACCTTTAGGAGATGTCTGATATTTGTAATTGTCTTACAAGAGGTGGAAATGGCAGAAGTGCTAACGGACTTTTTTGTTTCAGTTTTCACCAACAGTTTAGTAGAGATTGGACATATAATATTACAAATACCAGTGAAAATGAATACGATCAGAGGCCAAAATGATGGGCTTTCCCTTAGCTCAGAAGCTAGAAGAATTGCAAATCATACCTTTACAGTGATGTGTGATTCTAATAAAGGCACTTTAAGCTCCCTCGCATGAAGGCCTGCATTTGAATATGGGGGAACTGGACAATATCATATTGCGGTTTGCAATTTGCGTATATTTTTCCAACTTTTCTTTGTAGTCTAGATGTAGCCCTAGAGAGCTAAGACTTTACATCCTATTACCAAGCTAGTGCTTAGTGGAGAACTGCCTGCATCGCAATGGACACATAGTAGCACCCATGATGGTGTTCTCAGCAGAATCCAAGGACTGAGTGGCCATGGAGGCTAAACTACTATTTCATTTGAAGATTTGGCTCACTGATGAAGCAGCATAGGGAAGCAAGCTGCCTATTCTCTGCCTATATTTGTGGATAAAGAGAAGACTTTGTTCTCCAAGGGGTATCACTCCAGGGCCACTCACCTGCACTGAATTCAGTCAAAATGACAATACAAAAATGCATTATTTTTCGTTGTATTAAAGGTGGGTCAAACAACATGCAAAGAGTGAAAGTCACATTACATTTTGGCAAAGAACTAATCACTTACAATCAAGACTATCACAAACAGTGAGATTCACTCTAAGGACACTTTTGATAATCACATTTACCCTGACACCATTGATGTACATTTTGTTTAATTTGGTGGAATATCTCATCAGCAAATTGTACTAGTTACCATATTGAGTTGGAAAATTAAACTTTGCATGAGCTTAAATATTCAGAATGAATTTAATTAATATAAACACAGTAAGTCATGGTCATATTTAATTATATTGTTAGCATTAACTATTCCTGTTAAAACAAGCATAAGCATTAGATTTTTTTTAATTCTCCCCCTCATAAAACTGGTCATTTATTTGAAATGAACAAACCACAGGACATTGTGACATTAAACAGAAGAACAGCAACAGACAGGCACTCTGGCAAGTGGTAGATGAAAGAAATAAACAAGTGTTTCTTGTTTCCTTCATTAGCCTATGATTAAACAAATAAAACCAAAATTATGAGGATCTGTAATAAAAAACACAACTCTCCAAGGGGAGCAAGGACAACAAAAATGGAAACAAACATTAGCATTCAAGAAAAACAATCTACACACCGCTTTTTTCTTGATTTTAGCCGCCTTTTGCATCCTCTGAGGAGCAGCATAAAAAAGAAAGCAGACAGATGCACACACACACACACACACAAAAAAAAAAAAAAAAAAAAAAAAAAGGAGAGAGAAAAGACAGCGTGTGAAGTCAGGGAAACCTTTTGATTATGATTCCAGACTCTTAAAACTGTTATTTGGGGGAAGAAAGGGGAGAGAGTGGTTTACAGGATATATATATTTGAAGCATATGGGCTTCAATGGGATAATGGACACGGTCAAATGGGGTTATGCATACTGCCAACTCATTACAGAAATGATGGAGTGTTGTCTGTTAAAAGCTGTTCATTACATTTTTTCCCTGCTGGATGCACCATTACCTAAAATTGCATACCAGGCACTTACAGGATGTCCAAATCCCCGATTTATTCATTCAAAGAGACATAGATTTGTACATACAAAAATCATATTAGTTTCAGAAGTACTGTTCAGGCACTAGCATTTTAACATTAGGGTATGTTTATAATATGGTAGCTCCTACAAACTATGCCAAGTGAACAAACTATGCCTGAGCTCAAGCAATTAGGTGCAAGGGTTCAAGCAACAGTTTTACTTTATTTTCATAAATGATGTGGCAAGCTCCGAAGTGCCTGGACTATGAACTGCCAAGCCTACAGATGCTGGGCTCAGCCCTGGCACAGAATAAGCACTGGATCAAGACCAAGTTTCAGTGTAGGTTTTTTGAAATGGACATGTGCAGAGATTAGAGGCAGTACAGAATAATCTAAGGGCAACTCTGCAGAAGAGAGCCTGCAAAAGGTCTTGAAGGAGAGTCAAACGTCTGTCAATCTCCAAAGGTCTACCTGTGCGATCTTTGCTCTAACGAACTGGAAAATACCACTCAGTTGTGCACACTGTATAGAAGTGCACGTGAATGCAAGGTCCACCTCATTTCTGTATGAGAGTTTTAATATTTGTGGGGAATCTAGCATATGAAAGAAATATATGCAGTTTTAATCTGTTTGCAGAGCATGGATGTCCATGGTACTTTAGCATTCCCTTATGAGAGTTAGGAAGAAGATCTATAGTGGAAAAGTTAACACAAAGGGTAGGAGTGGATGGGACATAGCCAAGCACTTTATGCTTGGGTCTGACACTGTGGCTACGTCTACACTGGCCCCTTTTCCGGAAGGGGCACGTTAATTTCAGCGATCGCAATAGGGAAATCCGCGGGGGATTTAAATATCCCCCGCGGCATTTAAATAAAAATGTCCGCCGCTTTTTTCCGGCTTTTAGAAAAGCCGGAAAAGAGCGTCTACACTGGCCCCGATCCTCCGGAAAAAGCGCCCTTTTCCGGAGGATCTTATTCCTACTTTGAAGTACATACTTTGAAGTAGATTTAAGATCCTCCGGAAAAGGGGCCAGTGTAGACGTAGCCTGTATGTATTCTCTTCTAGACCTTTTAAAGCAGGGTTTCCCAACCTATGGGTCGGGACCCAAATCTGGGTCACCATTACATTTCAAAAGGGTCGCCAGGTGGCTCTTAAGGAGCCATTCACACATTTTTTGAATTGCCCTGGGTCACCAAGTCTTCCTGAATTGGCAAAATGGGTCCCCATCTGGAAAAGGCTGCTGCTTTAAAGAATCCATCTACTGTACTCTGCCAATTTGGTAAAAGCCCCAGTTCAGTGATCTAGTATACAGCTTTTGACATCAGAAAAACTACACCTTTCTTCCACTGCGCCCTTTGGGGGATGGCGGAGGGGGGCACTACAATTCCCAGTGAAGTTCGTGGAAAGATGCCCATCAATTTTAATGGGAGCTGGACCCGGCCTTTAATACGGGAATCTGATGCAGCCGTGGCAGTTATCCAGGTCCATGTCTAGTAGCATTAACATTATCTATGTTCAGATTAGCTCTTAGTTAATGGCACCTATAGGAGGACTCATTTATTGTGGCTCCCCTATCTTTTTAAAGCATGAGCCTTACTGCTGCCCTGTGAAGAATCCTGAGGGAACGGTCATCTGTGTACAGAGATTTCCCTGGCCTATAGGAAAAGACATGGGACCACCACCTGCACTGCTCAGCCATGCAAGCTATTTAGGGAATCCACACACTGAGTTTAACTCTGGCACTGGGACTCTCCATGCTGAGCAATTTCCTTCCCCTTAGAAAGCAGCACTGAAGCAATGTTATCTGAAAGTTGGGGAGGGGTGGGAGCTCTTGAAGACTTGTGAGGCACAATCCCTCCCTACATATAGCTTGGAAGATCCTGGCATTGCTGTCACAATTGGAGGCCAGATCACTTTCTTCCTTTGTGGGCAAGGCAACCCCAAAAAGGCAGAATTCAGAGAACACCTGGGATCCCTTCTGCAGGGATCAATCAACCTCTGAACCACATGTTTAAAAAAAAACCTATTTAGATTACGATCTGCAACAACTTAGTATATTACTATCACATCTGACAAAGTGTTTTTTACCCATGAAAGCTTACGCCCAAGTAAATCTGTTAATCTTTAAGGTGCCATAGGACTCCTCACTGTTTTTGCAGATACAAACTAATATGGCTACCCCTCTGAGTCTACTAAACTTACTGAGTTAAGCACATATTAAAGAGGATTTCTGGTAAATCAATCCTAAAACACTACTGGTTTTCCAGAGGGAGTGACTATTCTCAATCCCCGTGAAATGAAGTGAGCTCGGAAAAGCAAAGCTGAAAAGCACTATGTATCAAGTTTTTTGACCATTGTACAAGGGGTCTGCTCCACAATGACGCGCCTGGTAAAATGCAGATTTTGAAGTGAAGTTATTTCAAAAAGTGTGTAGTGTCTGCCCTAGCGCCTTGAGAAGGCAGAAAACAAATGATCTGAGAAATACCTTTGAGACCGGCCAGCAGCGCAATGCAACTACTGTAACACACAATCTATCTGTATCAAACACTAAAGTGAAACTTATTGATTTAGAAGCATGGTATTTAGTGTCAAATATGGCATTTTGTGTAATCAAGCCATTAAAAGTTTGCTATAGAAACAGTCTAGATAAAATTTCAGTTGTGCAGATCTTTAAATTTTATTAATGCTAAAAATCTCTGAATGTTACTTTTAGATGTCATAATTTTCTTTTAATTGCAGTTTTACATTCAGCTGTGCCTTGCAGGGATGTTAAATAGCGGTTCGGAAGCTAAATGAGTAGTTAATGGAATTTTCATCAACTACTTGATTAGTCAATAAGAAGAGGGTTCGCTGCGGCTCTGCTTTTTAAATGTAGTAAGTGCCTCCGGGCTCTACTAAATTTAAAAGGCAGAGGCGCAGCAGGGGACCAGGTACAAGCCAGGACAGCTGAGTCCCAGCTCACACCAGGACCCAGATGCTGCAGCTCTGCTGCAGCCTGGGGGCTCTTCCTATGTTTAAAAAGCAGAGCTGCAGTATCTGGGACTTGGCTAGTTCTAATTTCATCCACATTGGATTTTTATGCCTCCTTTTGTAACATTTCAAGTGACCATACCTCCTATTTCAAGCACATGGAGACAATGCATGATGGACATCTCTCACTGCAGCTACATTGGAGCTGCTCTGCACTTCAAGTGGACTCCAAATGCCACAAACAGGTTTACAAAGTATACTTACAAAAGACAGGAAAGGGTTACAATTTTATGAATAATAAAGCCAGCTCCTCTTGCAAGCTAACTGCACTTGCAGTTGCAAGAATAGCAACTTATTTGGTTAACCAGTGTAAATCAGGCCAATTCTACACTTTTCATGCCCTCCAATCCCTTCTAAAGTCCAAATCAAGTGTCAATAAAGATGCCTGTCTTGCTGTGCAGATTATTTGACCTGAAGGGACTATCTCCAAACATATGCTACTTCTACTGATTAAATTATTTTCAGTTAAATCTGTAGGTTTTTTCTAATTACACACTTCAATTTACATATTTCATATCATGTCTTTATCTACATGTAGACTGGAGATATTGGTACAAATCTAAACCAATCAATTCCACAGAACATGATTAAAAAAATTCTCCTACCTGGATTATATATTCAGATAAAATGCATTTATTTCATTGACCACAGAAAATACTGTGTATTAAAATACTTCCATGCAAATCCATGGTTTCAAATGACACTAATATAAATCTGGTACTGAGCCTTCTTATCTTAAGAAAATAATATTTTGATGCATTTGAAATATTTTCAATTACATGAATAACCAATTCCAGGGTCTAACACTGTAGTGTCCAACACGCTAGCCACATATGGCTATTTAGCAGGTTGAGTATGGCTAGTTCACTATAGCAGTAGCCACTATAGTGGCTTCCATGCAAATCCATGGTTTCAAATTACACTAATACACTATAGACACTCTAGTGGCTACTGCTTCAGAACTCGTTGGACACCAAAGGTCTAATAAGATGACAGGAATCAATCAGTCATAAACCGGTTGGAATGTTTTCTCATTACAATCCAGATTTTACCTTGAGTACTTATATTGTACAATTTGGAAGAGCCTCTGCAATAATTTATATTCTGTTCTTCAGAGGATTTGTATGTTCTACAATGCTAAACACTGGGAAAAGTGAGGATTTTTACAGCTGCAGATATGTATTCACTTGAGTGCACCTCTCAGTAGATGTGAAGGTTTAGAAGTTTCAGACTATTCCGAGTTCAGTTATCAAGGGAGTCTATTCTACAGACCATAAAAAATCACCTACCTTGACACGGCTCACGGCCTCTTGAGCTTGCATCATTCTTATATTTTTGGAAGGGTTGCGTTCTGAGAGCAGCTGTGTAGAACCCAAGTAATTGGCTGCAAAGATGATTCCATCAATGAGATCTTCAGGTTCACAGGGTCCTGGAACTACAGAGGCAGGTATACAATTGTTACCTTCAAAAAAGGAGTAGGGCATCAGAAAGTTTAAGGAAGGGCACTGATACTTGCCCAACTTCTCCTTAACACATTTCTTTATTTGCAACAGCCTAGTTAAAAGAATCATTGCAGAGTTTAGTGCATATTAATCAGTGCATTTATTTCCCATAATTATGTCTCAAAAACTAAAAGGCAGGATTTACGTGTAGTATTTACGATACTGCATAGTGTGTTGGACTTGGAATTACAGAGAGTAGTTCATTGAAGCATGTTGCTGGAGGGAAAACACAACAGAGCTCTTCACTACACTAAACCAAATGCTGCTCTTGAATGCACACAAAAGCCTCCTTCCCATTGATATCAATGCTACAAGCACTGAGTGTTCTTATCTGTGGGCGAAATTCTGTTCTTGTATATGGATTCCTCAATACCAATATTTGTCAATGACAAAAAGTGCATGGATCCTCAAATTCTTTGCCAACTATAGCAGAACCTTGTTAGCTCACACTAATGAGTGACACGTCTTTTGTAACAATTGCATGTTGTGAATCGTCAAGTAAAGAAACACAAGAAGATTTCCTGTATCAGATTACAGAATTGATGCAGGCAGATGTGATGTAGAGGATCAAATGTCAAAGCATCACAGGCAGTTACAACACCTGACAGGTCAAAGACAGAGGTATCTGATGGCTGAGTAGATGACATCAATACAAAAACAAAATACAAAATACAATTAAAACAGCACTTCATTTCATGCAGCCAAGAACTTTTAATGGAAAAAAAAGCTGTGAAAAGACTTTGTGCCTGCATCACTGAGGTTTTAATTTTAAAATAATATGTTTCCTATACACTCCATAACTCAAGTTATAAAAGTAATTCTGTGTACAAAAATACACAAAGGAATGAGGAGGTTGGAGACACAAATGAACATTTAACATCCATTTTTACCAATCATCATCTATGTTAAGCTCTTATGCTGAGCATAATGAATTTAGTCAACTGCCTTAACATACAGAGAGAAAAAAAATTCAAACCACTAAGTAACACCACGGGGACACTGACAATCATGTCCTACTACACACTTGCTAATCAGAGGTAGGAAGGACTCATGATACCAGCTACATGTTTTGTTAGTCTATAAAGTGCTACCAGACCATATGTTGTTTTTTAAGTCAATAGATAATCTAAGGTTTAAGCGTACATTTAGTAAAAAAGATCACATTTCACAGAGAAGGCTATCTTCATTGGGCCAAGAAAAAGACAATTACCTGTTCTGTAACTGGTGTTCTCTTAAATGTGTGTGCTTGCCATATGCCTCAGTGCCAGAAGCATTTTCCATGAGTAGTATCTGGTGACTCCTGCAATGGTGCCTCCGTGGTACATGATAAGGGGTGCTATGCACTCCCCCCATCCTCAATTCCTTCTTGCTGTAAATTCTGACAGTGGGGATGGAGGGTGGGTTGTGGAATGGACATGAGCAACGCATCTCAAAGGAAACCAGTTATGGAACAGATAACTGTCTTTTCTTCTTCGAGAGATTGCTCATGTGCATTCTACATTAGGTGGCTCCAAGCAGTATCCTTGGAGGCAGGTAGGAGATCACAACTGCATGGATTAAAATACGGCCCTGCCAAACCCGGCGTTGTCTCTATGTATGTCCTGGATTGCTACACGTGACAGGAAGACCACTGATGATGCCTCAGCCCTGGTCAAATGGACTCAGATAATCAGCAGCAACATGACCTTTGCGAGCTCATTACAGGCCCATATGGAAGATCAGAGCAGAAATCCTCTCTGATTAAACTTGAAGCCCCTTCATCCTATCAGATGTAGTGAAAAATAAGAATGTTAAATATTGGTTAAGTGAATAGTTGATTAACCTCATGAGTTCTTATCAGTTACTCAACTATTTTATAGTCTCTGGGGTGTGGGGCCAACAGCCTGTGCAATCCGTCTGCGCTCCCGAGGAGGCCCCTGCCACTCTGCACTGCTGCCTCTATCTGAGGCAGCAGCATGGGGTGCCAGGCAGGAGCTGGTCCATGAGGGGAGCCAGTTTAAAAACCAGTTCCCTTCACAGACCGGCTAACTGTTCATAGAACCATAGAGCTGGAAGAGACCTCAGGAAGTCATCAAGTCCAGCCCCCTGCCCAAGGCAGGACCAATCCCAACTAAATCAACCCACCCAGGACTTTGTCAAGCTAAGACTTAAAAGCCTCTAGGGATGGAGATTCCACCACTTCCCCAGGTAACCCATCCCAGTGCTTCACCACCCGCCTAGGGAAATAGTTTTTCCTAATATCTAACCTAGACCTCTCCCACTGTAACTTGAGACCATTGCTCCTTGCTCTGCCATCCGTCACTACCGTGAACAGCCTTTCTTCCAGCCTCTTTGGAACCTCCCTTCAGGAAGTTAAAGGCTGCTCTCAAATCCCCCCCTTACTCTTCTCTTCTGCAGACTAAACAAACTCAAATCCCTCGCTCTTTCCTCATAGGTCATGTGCTCTAGCCCCCTAATCATTTTGGTTGCCCTCCACTGGACCCTCTCCAATGCATCCACATCCTTTCTATAGTGGGGGGCCCAGAACTGGACACAATACTCCAGATGTGGTCTCACCAGAGCCAAATAAAGGGGAATAATCACATCTCTGGATCTGCTGGCAACGCTCCTCCTAATACAACCTAATATGTCATTAGCCTTCTTGGCTACAAGGGCGCACTATTGTCTCATAGCTGGATAGCTTCTCATCCACTGTAACCCCCAGGTCCTTTTCTGCAGAACTACTACTTAGCCAGTCAGCTCCCAGATACAGAGGCAGCAGGACTAGAAACCTGTCTAGAGGCATGAATGCTTTTGTATGCATCAAACCAAGCACTACTCCAATTAATTCTGTCCTTTGAACTGCTATGAATGTAGACTTTATATCATTGACTAGTACCCCAAGGACTGGCACATGGCTAAGAGGGTCTCAATGTCCCACTTTACCCACATCTTGGAGCTGCCTTTGATCAGCATCTCATTGAGGTATGAATAAACCTGGATTCCTTGGCACCTTAGGGAAGCTGCCACTACTGCCATGTACTTAGTAAAGACCCTTAGTGCTATAGCCAAGCCAAATGGGAGGACTGTAAACTGGTAGTGGCAGGACCCACCAGAAAGCATAGGAAAAGTCTGTGACCAACATAAAAATATGCATCTGTCAGGTCCAGGGTGGCATACCACCTTCCTGGATCTAAGAAGGGAATAATGAAGGTTAGGGAGACCACATGGAATTTGAACCTCCTAGATACCTGTTGAGATTTTGCAGGTTCAGGATAGGCTGAAAACCACCTTTGACTTTCAGAATCAGGAAGAATCAGGAATAGACCATCCCGTTCCTGTACTCGGATGCAGCTTCTTCTACGACCCCCAGATGCAGCAGCTCCTGAACCTCCTGCATGACAAAACTCTTGGGAGAAGGGTCCCTGAAAAGGGATGGGGTGGAGGTAGCAGTGTACTTATCCAGAGAAGATGAGGACGATGCCTGTGATGTCAGTTCCGCTCCTCCTTCCAGTGGGGTGACTGCTGACCCACTAGAAACTCCTGGATTCAGGGGGTTTCTTCCTCAGGAGCCTGCGCCAGCTTGGGGGTCGAGTACACCGAGGCTGACGATTTCTCAAAAGACCCCAAAACCGACCAGGCAGCATGGGATGAGTTGGTTCTGTGAGTCCCAGGGTACTGGTCACTGTCCCTGTGGGCAAGCTGGAAGGTGCTGAAGGCAGAGGCAGCACCCCAAGCATCAGTGCCTGACCTGCTGGCAAGAAACCCTACTCAATGCCATCTTCTGAAGTTGCATGAAAGCAGCCAGGAGTGGGAGGGTCTTTGATTCCTGCATGGCAGTAAGTGCTGCACGCCCACAAGGATCCCTGAGCAGGATGACTCTCTGTCATAGAATCTTGGAGCCCATTGGGCAAAGGCGGATCAGTAACATCTGCTCAGGGCCAGGAATGAGACCGACGGCCTGATGACCAGTGAGACCATGAGGACTGATGTGAAGGGGACTGGTGCCAGTATGTTTGCAAATGGCAATGTCATTCATCTCAGAGATGCACAGGGCTTGCATCAGTGCCTGTGCCAGAAGGCGCATACCTCAACAGGTCTGCGCCACAGTGCCGGCAAACCCTGCCATGGGTCCTGCCTTCAGCACCCCACCCCACTGGGGAACTAAAAGGGAGTTTGCAAAGCCTGCTTCCTCATGGTCTGAGACTTGGAGTCTGAGTGGGGAGCACTGGCGGAATAATCTCTTAAGATAGGAAGATGCCCATAAAAGAGGCCAATGTGGGCTTGGTCTGGACTGACATACTGCCGGTGCCATTGGCAAGGCCCATATGTCCTGCGCTACAAGGCCTCTGGAGTGGATGGCACCTACAGCTGCTGGAGGCCTTCATCACTTCTCAGCATAAGTGACTCAAGATGGAAAAGTCTGGGCTACTCCACATGAGCCGGAGCCCAATTCCCAGGCAGAGGTGATGAGCCGCCCATCACGAGTTTCAGCCCTCTTCCTGACTTCTCCCTTCCATCATGAAGAACGTCCCCTCACAGATGTCTTCGACTTCTTGATCGGAACCAGTGAGGAAGAACTGGCTAGCTAGAAGATGGCACCAGTAGAGCGCTCCACACTGAATCGATCACGTTCAAGACCATGTCTGCCCTCCCCTCCTGTGCCAGGGTCAGCACCAACTCCATTAGAAGAGCATAAAGGCAAATTCCTTTTTAGTCTGGGGCTTAAACGACTTACAAATTGAGCACCTATCGCTAATGTGCCCTTCACCGAGATACTTCAGGCAACTGTTGTGTAGGTCACTAAGGCTACAGCTACACTGCCTTTTTTTTGTGGAAGGGGATATGCAAATTGCGCTCACATTTGCATATCTTCTGATTCTTTTTGCGGAAGAAGTTTTTCTGATAAAAAGCCCCATGTAGATGGGGCCATTTGCCGGGAAAAAGCAGTCTT